ATGAGGAAGTGGGGGGAGAAGAAAAGAAGGAGGGGCGGAAGGAGAGATACGTAATCTACAATCTATGAGGAATTGGAGTGCTGTTGGTATGGTGAAGGGGAACTGGCGCGTCCATCTAGACAGCAAGAAAAATGAAAAGCTTGCTTAAGGTTCCTACTTCCCATCGCGCAATGCGCAGGGCCTCAGCTGCAACATACACTGTCAGATCATGGTGCTTGCCCCTAATTACCTTCAATACCGTCATTATCACCCAGATTTCTCGTTGTAGAAGCAGTCATGCCTTCATGCGCTGACATTCCGAACCAAAAAGATCTACACCAAGACAGACGCATTAGTCCAGCCGCTAACCCTCGCGTCCCTCAGTTGGACGAAACGCCTCAACAGGCTTCATCAATGACAAGAGAAGCACAAATGCACGACTTGCACCGACAATTGGCCTACATAGAAGCAACCCGCCAGACTTCATTGGCAGTAATTTCAAATGCCGACCGCATGTGAAAGCATTCTGCTCAAGGCTCATGTTCATTTCTGTTAGTACTTTAGACTAGCTTGAGTGCATCTTCGTTGGTACTACGGAAATACCAACAGCATGGAATTCCTTAGACATATGAGACCCCTTCGCTGAACAGATGCTCTCAACAACAGAGATGTATTAAAAGACAGACTCGACGACGCAGATATGATAGAACAGCTTTTGTCTTGCTGTGAACTCATCCAAGACCGTCTTGTAAGTGGTCGGACTTGTGATAGGATTACTAGAAACTCAAGGCTTTATTGAAGATCAAGAGGAAGGCACAACCCAGCGGAATCAGAATGGTGCACTTGTTTTCTTGCGGGAGAGGCTGCTTAATTTGAAGCAGTATTCCACTGATATTCTCCAGCGCCCATACAAGTCGATGAACAGAAGCTGCCCTGTTTCGCCTCGCCTCGACTTGAGTTGGGTTTCCTTTGACACGTCCATTGGCTCCTTTCCCACACCGTAGCAATGCCGTTAAACCTCGTCTAGCAAGAAGCCCCGCGTGTCTTTCGTGGAGACGGCTCCCTTGACTATAGTCAGCTAGTGCGCCATACATTACGTGGCTCACTTACTGCATTCGGACCCAGCACAGCCTCGTACTTTTCCTCGTCCCTTAGTAATGGGCTCTCCAGGGGAAGCAGATGACCCGGTTCTTGAGGGCGCGTCAGGCGCTCATTGCCGTCAAGCTATGTGTAAGATGCCTGACTAGGATGCCCCATGCAGTGCGCGTGCTGTGTAAAGATGCGAGGTATGCATTTTGACGTGCTGGAGGGCTTTCGGGATAGCCTCGCGAGCGGAACAATGTTGTTGAGCACCACCAATATCTGCGGGGTACGCAGCATTAATGATCGATTCCTTGCACTGCAAACTAAACAGCTGACAACCAGTCACCTGATTTCTTTCGACTAGGCTTATTGACCTTGATTTGGTTGCCCCAGGAATGACTTCGACGTGACACAGCGAGAGGCACACAGGCACATCACTTCGGAGCGAACTTTGGAAAAGTATTCAGTAAATCTATATGGGTCACAGATTTAAGAGACGCGATGGCCGATGCTTCCTCGATCTTCGTACGAGAACACAATAGAGCTAATCCAATTATTCACAACTCTACCAAAGCCAACTTGATAAGGCAGAGACTTTTGCCCTAGCTTGCTACCCACTGAAGGTCGTATGATGCTTATGGCGTGAAGTCGATACCCACGTCGTCAATGCCAGTCGCGCCCTCTAGGTAGTGCTGTTGTATCACTCGCAGTATCTGAGTCCTTGCGCGGGTCCTCTCGCCACAGCCAGATACCGCAGTACATCTTTCACCCTTTTCTCTCCCACCCCTACATACTGCGCGAGATTCTCCCGCCCTTGTTTAGGGCGGAGATATTTCCCACCCTTCTTAACTGCTTACCCACCCTTCTTAAGCGCGGAGATATTGCCCGTCCGTATCAATAGCGGAGGGATTGTCCGCCCTTTTAATCACGGAGGTATCGCCCGCCCTTTCTAACCACGGAGGTGTCACCCGCCTTTGCCACTTCTGGGTGTTCCTCCCTACCCTATCTATCTTTGCAGATCTGCTCCCCGGCCTACCTGGGGGGTCTGCCTTGGATGGAAAGGTCTAGTGTTGGTAAATTTTTGAGCGTCGGAGCGTGGTAGGTCTATAAACGAGATAGGTCGCTCATCATTGCGGATGAGCTTTACCAAAAGTTCCCACTGCTCTTGTCAAGCTCAGGCCCATGGTCATTGTCGATCGTTGTCGGAGTCCAAACCAGCTACCTTGTCTTTGGCTAAAGTCGTCCCAAGAGCCAAGCAAACAGGAACGTAGACTGTCAAGGAACCGAGAGACCTGTCCACGTAGTTAGTGGTACTTTAGCCTGCTTACGCCTCTTGATCTTGGGTTAAAGTCGCAGGCTCGTTGCTACTCAGGGAGGCGAAGCGGGCAGGCGCTTGAGGACCACACTTAACGTGGTATGATGTACTCACGCTCAATGTTTCTCTCGGGTGTATTGGCACAGTTGGTCTCTGAAGCTCGGGCGGAGCAGACTAGATTCTTCACCAATACTGTCGTTCTCTACCAGCTTCTCCTCGCATGTACCTCCTCTGCTCTTGCCCATGTCGAAGTTCCGAGTATCGCCAGTTGACTGATGGTAGGTACCAGCCTTGCAGCTCATATACATAGAATAAATCAAAAGCAGCTAGGTATGGGTCATCATTATTGTGTGCTCAAGTCGTAGAAAGCGGATAGCTGTCCGAGGTTGTTTTTTGACAAAAGGTACCTCAAAATTAGTACACGACGTATTGTTGTGCTCACAGCAAAGTCATGCGCTGCAAGTCATGAAAAGCTCGTCTGCAATTCAACTTCTGCAAGAAGAAAAGATCAATATCTACAAGTTTCAATTTCATTCATATGCACTGATCGCCAACAATGACAATCTTCGTCAGGTTTCAAGACATTACACTCAATAGGGTAGACTTCACACGAGGTATCATTCACGTCATCGTAGAAGGTAAATTGTAGTGAGTCGTTCGCTCAATTAAAATTGGCGTTTTATGCATCACCGCCCGAGACAATGAATCAAGGGGAATCCTGTGAAATGATGTTCAGTGGAATGATAGGTAGTTATCACTATCGCTATGTAGATCTTCTCGGAGTCATTAAGGCGACTGCCCCAGGGACTAATATCAGATGAAGCCATCTATATCATTTCCCTCTGATGGATAACGTCATATTCCATGTGTCAACCTGGCTTCATTCCCACGTATCATATATCTCGTCGTACATGATGTCTTGCGTCGAATTCATTTCTTGTCAATCACGGGCATAATCTCTAGTGTCTCACACAGTCTTTATTCGCTCTCAATGACACGTGTGAAGCCTGGTGTCTTACACTCTTTTCTTCCCGTTTTGTAATATACGTGTGAATCCTGGGGTCCGACATTGTCTTCAATCCTTCTCGCTCATGCGTGTGAATCCTAGTGTCTTACATTGTCTTCAATCCCTCTCATTCATGGGTGTGAAACCCCGTGTCTCACACTGTTTTTGTTTCTTCTCAATTGCATGTGTGAATCACGGTGTCTCAGGCAGATTTCGCCACTGAGCTAGCAAAGATCAAGGTATAAAAGGAGCCTCCCTTCCCCTCCATTTCGTTTTCTTTCCTCTTACCTCAACATCAATACTCACCTCATTTCTTCTGCCGTCATATCCATTCATAAATATGAATGAAGGACAGGCGCACCCAGCCGATCGGTACCCACCAGATGGCGCCATGACTTTGGTCGCCTCTACCAGATTCTTATGGCTCTTGCCTCGCGCAAGATCAACTATGCGGAGACTCATGCACAATCTTACAAATGCTTCCTCGAGTCTTCACAATGTTGACGCCTGTTCTACACCACAAATCCTGCACTGAAGCCTTGTTATCTCCATTCATGCCTTCTTCTTCATTTCGTCTCAAGAAACAACTTCATCGCAAAATCATCGCAATGATCAGGCTACACGGTAAGCCGCAGAGCGTTTCGCCATCACTTCTCCGCTCATGCAAAATTTAGGTGTTGCTGCATTGATCTTTCATATTAAGACTGTGTGGACTTCAACACATTCGGGACTTTTTCGCCGACGTCTGTTGGGTGTCACGTAAGTCACGTAGGTCACGTAGATGAGTGACACCTTGCAAACGTGATACTTGCTCCTTTAAGCGTGTAAGGAATCGTGGACTATATAATGATCGTCCTCCCATATGTAGAATGATTCCTTAACCTAACAACAATAAGAATATGAGATGCACCGAGAGTTGACGCAACAAAATTCATGTTCTCTCACGGGGTTGACTCTTCACCAAGTATTGGAGACCAGCTTTCACAATTCGATAGATCACAAACAAGCACAGGACGACTACAGCTTGCGCAAGTGTCTGAAGCCTGCACAACAAGTCACTTGAAGCAAGAGGGATTCCAGAGGTCTTTGAGACTCGATAAGGCCATCGATCACACGGCAAAGCCAGGATGTGTTTATGATTGGTGATGAGCCTCACTCGCCGTCTACTTCAAGCCTTTCCATCAACTGAATATGAGCACTCGTTATTTACACATAACTTGCAGCCTGCCTCTAAACCCGAACGTGAAGCTCGAAATCTTCACGCCCTCCAGGCCCGCAGCACCCTAGTAACCTAGGTCTGAGCGATATCATAAGCGAGATGGACAGCATAGAGCTCGATGGACCTCTTGAGCTGCAAGCCCGACTCTAGTCGTGATTCGCGGACCAAGCTCCTGGGATGGGCTCTCAAAATATAAATATATATACCTTCTTATTCTCTGGGCAAGTCACATACAAGTGGTGTATACCTCCGTGAAACTGCTTTGGCAGCCCTTTGAGATAGCACTTTGAGAGGAGTGCATTACCCCGAACGAGGACATTCTCCAAGTCACCCGGACGTGCAGCTACGACTATCTCACACTATAAATATATATAACTTACTTTCCGGGCAAGTTGTACATGCACAAGAAAGAGGAGTACGAATGGAGAGCTTCAACCAACACAGCCGAATCAACAGCCCTGAGCCCAGACATTCCACCTGCTTTGTTTCCCCCTCAAATCACTGTTCCCAAGCAACAACAGGTCTCCAAGACCCGAGAAATTCCCAAGCAACAACAAGTCTCTCTGAGTAAAATGCTATTACATGGGACATATTTAGATGGCCAGTACCAAGGTTTCGAATCAGCCAGTCTTCAATCAAGCCCCATGAAAGATGATGCTCAAAGCTTGCTGGATGACTTCAACGCGAAGCATGGCGGACTCAAGGACGTCCCAACAGTAAGTTAAATTCTACAACTATCACCTGTTTGAAGATCGTTGAATCTCTACAAGAATTAACCTTTGGCTATAGGCAGCGAAATTGATAACCAAAAATTCGCTCGACCTTAAAGCCAGCATGGCCGAGTTTACTCAGAGGTTCTACAAGCAACAACCCCCGAGGAAACGAAGTTCGCCTCCAAGTGATCATATGAAGCTGATGACTCGAACGATTTCCGAAGCCCCGTCACGAACACTCACAGATTACTTCGCTCGACAGACAAAGCTTCTCGTCACGGCTGTGGCTACACTCAACTTCCTCCCGGCAGATCAGCCAACCCTCACTGAAGCGCGCTCAAAGACGCGAGAGGGACACAAGATCAGTGGGGACCGAGAGACTCAGTTTGGGCAAGCAACTTTTCCAGGGACGAAAGGAGTGTTTGCTACGTACGGGAGACGAGAAGAATCTCGTGGAGTACATCTTACTCCCTGCTGCGCCGGTTCCTCGCGTGACGACCTCAGAACCGCCACCCTACCCGGCTTCCCAGCTCGGATTCGAACCTAGGGGTGAAAGGATAAGGGGGGATTCTTGGACCGACGTCGTTGCGGGAGAGCCAATGGGGGATTAGACATGGCTGGCAGCGGGTATAAGCAGCACCAACGAGGTTACGCCTGACACCGTCGACGGCACGACGGACGACGACACGGTTAACGAGACGCTTGACGAGGAGCAGGACGCGATGAGGGCGGCCAGCAGGGGGAGAGCCATAGGTGCCCTGGTGCGCAAATTGAGGTCGACCTGCGACGCGCTCCGCAAGGCGGAGGTGGAGTATCATGCTCAGGCGCGTGCTCTGCTCGTGAGCGCAGCGGGAGCTGTTGGCGTGGTGGCTGCTTCTTTTGCCGGAGGTAATGCTCCATGAAGACCAAGAGACAAATCGCCGTAATATGGCCGTACATCGGCGCCTGTGTCAGCTGACGTTCAACAAGCGTCTGGATCGTATTTGGCAGGCAAGCAAAAGTTCTGCTACAATCATAGACGACAATTATCACCAATATTCCGACAATGGAGCGACATCATTCTACACCGCCACCCGTCTGGACGCCACGGCGCCCATTTATGTGGACAGACCCTCCATGGTCTACTACACAGCACATCATTCGCCCAAACTCAAGGTATTGGCGGCCCTGACCTATGACATCTGCAAGGTCAACAAGCGGAAACTGTTAAACTTCGTGGACTGGCCAACGGTTCAATGGGCTCGGTCCTGAGCCTGAAGACCTTGTCAAGATTCAATTCAACGATCTCCGTCGTCGTGAGTTGAAAGAGAAAGCAGAAAGCTATCATTGCCCAAGCACCTTGCACCTCGGATCTGTGATTGAACAGGTGCCGCTGCACAATCATTACACGGGCAATGCCTGCAGAATCTACGCCGCTCACGGGTCCTGTGCAGAAAATTCGAATGTCCCAATCAGCGCTCGCACAATATCATGTATGTCCTTTTGCATTCGAAGCTACTACAAAGCTGAGCTTAGATCATTCGCTCTTTCTGCAACAAAACCATCCTGAACAACGCTACAGTGGAGCAAAATGGCGGATGGCGAGAACTTCAGACCTATTCTAGTCGGTTGTTGATCTTGTGTATTTCGGGACTTCGTGCCTCTCAATTCAGACATACAGCAAACATGACTTGTGATGACTAAATATTCTCTCGATTATCTGATACAGCAACGCAACCTCAAATGGCTGAAAGCGCAACCCAAGACAAGTTCCTGCATCGCCAGTGGCAAGCTCCAACCAAACCACTTCCCCTCAGTCACATCTGAGTTTCCACGCGAAATCAAGCTACACAGGCCAGCCGCACCTGCAACCAGTCAACGCTGCAATGATTGCAGTCCCAGATATAAGCTGACAAGGCTCGGGATTCTCAAGGAACTTGACACGAACCACGCCACAGGAATCGCAATTGTATGACAAGCTTTCGACACCTCCATTTAGAGGAGCGACCAACGACGGCCATTCTTTTTTAAGTACTGTTCTCATCTCCCTTCAAATAGTCTCATATATCTGAAATGGCACAATTATGGTGATGACGATGCTTCAATATCAATGGTTGCCACACGAAATCGCCGAGACACCCGAAACAATTTCAAGCCTCCTATATCCAATGAAACATGAATCCGTCAACAATCGCAAATGCGTGAGTCGGAGGTACTTCAAAGTTCTTCTTCAAGTGAATCAATACGTAGATTGTACGTATGGAGATAGGTCTCGTTGATGAAGCTCTGTACCGAGATCACATCCGCCGCGATCAAGTCTATGACAACAAACTAAAGCAGCTCCCGGCAATAGACATCGATTCAAATATCGGCGAGAGCATTGACGAGAGGAATTGGAATATGCTCGCGGGTCATGAACAAATAGTAGTCAACTAGTCATGGATAGACCTTTCAAGTTACGCACCATTCTCACCCAATGAGAATTGGAAACCTAGAAGCAAAAACCCCAACACCCGCAAAATGCAAGACGGTTTTGATTGGAGAGGCAACTTCAGACAGATAGCCCTATCTATGTGTTCTTGCGTAGTGAAAGGGCACAAGTGTTGCGCGACGGGTACAGGCCGAAACAAATGCCATTACATGCAAAAGGATCGCAGCAAAATTGAAAGCGGAGGCGTTTGGGGAGGGGATGTCAGATCTCGTGGAGGCATTGAGCGCTTATCTTGGGGAATGTCATTGGATCGTGTGCAGCGATGAGTCAGACGGCTACAATCACCTCATACGGGACTAGGATTTCCTGGAGGTAATGAAACTGACATTCAAGCCTCTCACGACTCGGGGAAGTCGGCAGCGCAGGCTGCCGAAGGCGCTGCTGCGAGAGCCGGCTTGTCTGGCTCTACGACGTTCCCTACTACTCCTATGAAGCTCCGGGCGACTGCCCCGTCGTCCGGGGCGTCGACTCAGCTGGATAACAATGATCCTGATATCCAAATTACCTTTTCATGACCCAAAGCATCATCAGCTCGAGAGAAAGCTACGCTTGCACGTCAATTCCGCCCCCCGCGTAAGTAGTTTCTTCATTATTCCCTGGAATTCCCTATGCAGAACTAACACTATCCCAGTCTCTCGTCATTGTGCTGCTGCTGCGTCTAGAATTGAACGTAATGGCATAGTCATCGGCGACGACGAAGCACTACCAAATATATTCCGTATAATTCATGCTAGCGCGGACATCACTACCAAAGAAGAGATATAGTACAAAGTTACAGGCAACAACGAATCGATTTGGTTTGTGCGTGTCCACTAGGGCGGGGGCTAAAATGTTCTCTACGCGGCGTTAGGAAGAAATCTTCGCTTTTGCGGGGTCTTTTTGACAGAAATGCGAAATGCCGGATACCTCGAAACGATGTCGGCTAATCCTACACCCAAACAGATGAAACGATATTGGCTGAGTCAGTTTGGTTCCGTGCAGCAGAAGGTTAATAAACTTCATGGGTTAGTAGTATCTCTCTCCTCCAAAGTTAATCGACTACGGTGCTAATTTTTGCATACAGGGATGTTTAAGAGGATTTAGAGTTATCGCAAGAGGGAACGATAGTTGAGGCAAAGGGGAAAGGGGCAGTCATGAGGGCTTGAAGGGAATGCGGAAGCGAGGGACTGTGGCGATTGTCGAAGGCACTTTCCTAAGCCAGATACTAGCAAGGGATAACACGCCAGGAGGGAGGACTAAAGATCAAGGCTGAGGCCTCCCTGAGGGGTACCGCTCTTGGACATCGGAGACAAGTACCCGATGGCGTGCCCATCTCGCGCATTCGAATTGTTGGGCTCGGACGCCCTGGATAGCCAGAAGGGTCTGGAGTTGACGCTGCGCCTCGGGATCAGGTCGACCCTGTACGATATGGTCGCACTCGTGGAGTTGCTTCGGCTGAGAGATCTCGTGAAACGACTAGGCGCTACGGAACTCGTGATCATCAGAGTCGAATATGGTTTCGCAAAGACGTCTCCTTGGCGGGGCACAATCGTACTTGCAGAACCGTCAATTATCATTGTCTGATGATAACGATAGTAAGGGGCTAAATTGTCACCATGACAGAGATACTACCGTAAACCACATTGGCGGTCAATGCGAAGGTTCTCTGACTGGCCAAGGATGCAAGAGTGGGATAGACTGTCCCTACAGTCACAGCCCTGTTCTCACCTACACGAATCTACATCACGATTTGTTCCACCACAGATTTTATTGAAGCTTTTACGGCACATAACATAGACCACCAGCCCAGATCATATCAGTGCACCGAGCCACTTCAAACGAAACAAACCAAGCTACGAAGATTCAAGTACATTAAGCTGCTTCAACGTAATAACCCCAAGCCACTTCATAGCGAAATGAAGGATTGGGAAGGAGTATGGGCGATGTCTCAAGCGAAGGGAGGCATTGAATAAAACAGAGTCTGCATTCCTTCTTGACGATGTAACTATGTACGATGTGAGGTCGCAGGCACTACCGCACAATGTTCGCGGGTGAGTCTGAGTTAGACCCGATACAGGTGCTCACTGAATAATCGCACACTTCAACACGGAATTCTGCAGCTGAAAAGACTTGCAGGCCTGATTTCGTGTCTTATGTTCGTTAGACTTGTCGATTGAATGATAATGTAAAGAAAGTAATCAAAAGCTCTTGGTCAGTCGTTTTTGATGTTAATTAATCTCTTTAATTTTCATAGGAATAATGCTCGGCCTACTGTCTTATGTGATATTCCTTGTGTATCCCCTTTGCTCCCTAGGACGAAGTATATGCCACAATATCACTGATATGTATCCTGTTTCACAAAGACTCAGGTGGTCCAAAAAGACTCAATTAACATAGTCTTGTTACATGATTGGCCGGAAGTCTTGATCAAAACCCTGATGAATTCTTTAATTGGAGTGCTGAGGCGCCCCTCCGACGAGCTTCATGAGTAGTAACCAACTCTCCAAGAACGTGAAAGTGTTTCCTAATGAAATCTTCAGATACGTGCATTCGATAGTTTGAAGCTGAAGTAACCAAGTGGGGTTGTGTCTCACGTGGTGGAGGACGACTCCTCCATAGGGATGTTCACAACCTTCAACGAGCTTACCACCACCATTTCTTTCTTGAGCAGTCGCGCTGTGTGGCCATGCGCTTCAAGGCGCTGGAAGACGTGTAGAATACCCCTGTGCGGTCAGTTCCACGCATTTGAAAACCCAACTCACTTTGTGCATCTCTTACACGCGTAACCACTCGGCTGTCCTTGAATTACCTCATAAAACCAACCCAAGCAAGATTTTGATCGGCTCGTTATATCAATTCTCATATCAATCACTGACGATACAATTGAGGAAGTCAAAAGTCGACGACTGGTGGGCAAAATCTGGATTTTGGACCGGACACGCCAGTGTAGGCAGAGACACGCGAATCGTTTGAGTCCTGCTGTGGTTTCCGGTACAGGGTCGCTAGATGTCGTAATCAGTATGAGAATGTCAATCGGGCTGGAAGTCCTGCGCCCACCACTTCGAAAAGCACGACTACAAAGACGGGGGCAGCTGTGTCCGTGGCGTGAACCCTTTTCCACTTTCCGGGCAAGACATAGGAAACACCTGATCGACTTATACC